AATAACAATTTTAATAAAATAATTTCATATTTATTATAATTTTTTATTTTTATTTTTTTAAAGAATACAATTATTGTACTCTTTATATATTAATATTTTTGTAACAAATAATAAAAAAAAAACAAAAATATCTTAATGTGTTTTTAATGAAATTAAATATAATTTAGGTATTTATAATTTAGTACAGATAATATAGTGATTACAACGCACGTAAACATCATTAACGATAAATATAGAGAATAATTGTAGTCTTTATAGTTTCTGAAAAATATTGGGTACATCTTATTATTTAATGATTTAGAGATGAATATTACAGATTGATTACCTATTTTAAACAAAGTTAGTAGATGGTGAATGTGTTCTGATGTGAAAACATTTTATAAGTTCATTGGTAGTTATTTACCGACAAAGTTGATTATATTAACTAGACATGAACCACAGTTTAATTCAGTGACTTGATGTTGGACATATCGAAAATATTAAATAAAGTTCTATGGATATTTTGAGTTTGTAGAAGTTTAGTCTGTTCATTATGGAATCGTTGGAATTAAGCCCCTTCATTTTTTATCTAAGAGTGGCTATAAAAAATTTCTCTAGACTAGAAGATTAAAATATATCTTTTCTTTTTCAAATAAGACATATTAAACGTATTATTGTTTATTCCCATAAAAATGTATATTAAAATATTTAAAAAGTGTATTCAATATGATTAAATTGATTAAAACGATAATTTGATGATTTGGTAGTTAATATTATTGAATTTGATAAAAAAAAATAAAAATATATTAAAAATTATTAATTTGATCAAAATAATAAATTGATAACCTTACGTTTGTATATTATATAATAACAGACTACGTTATAAATTATAATTATATAATCACCAACATTTGAATATCTTATCTTCAAATTCGATTCAAACATTTGGTGAAAATTTCCAAGCAGAGTTAAGAATTAAGTGTGTAAGACAAAAACACGATAAATACCTCACAAAATATGTTCCTCCAATTCTTGGTAAAATAATTACATACGATAATAAAATCAACAATTGTTCTTTTGCTAATAACTCCACTCTATTCAACGAATATAAATTATAATAACTTTCAATAATCGAAATGGGTAACGTATGGATAACGTACTTCTGTATAGGTGTTTTACAAATTAGCCTAACAACAAAAGTGTTATTTTTTTATTTTTTATTTTTTTATATATATATATATATATATTTATAATATATACCCATGACAATGAAACAATTTCAGTTTTTTTTTTCTTCTAGTAACAGTTTTAATTTTAATAACACACAATTTTAATGGTTATACAAATGATAGCATCTGTTTAAAACCTAATAATCACAATGTCATAACACGTGTGAAGAGTAACTGAACAATCATACATTTATTTTTTTTTTCTACATTTAATTTTAACATTATATATTATTATTATTATTATTATTATCATCTTAAGAATGCATTATAGGTACATTATAAGTCGTGCATTTATTTTGGGAAGCAATTTTAGAAGGAACGCCCAACCGTCTATTAGATTACATTTCTATCACTCGAACTTTCTATTGTTCGATCGTCAATTATATTTTCAGCGCCAATTTTCGATGACAAATTGACCATGACAAATGTTGGCCAATCGACACAACACTGAATGATGTTATCGGCTCACCCACTGTGGTTCTGAAACAGCTTGACGCGGTCTTCTCCAAGGGCCTACTGTACAAATTTATCAACATTAACAACAAACAGTCATTATTGATCGTATTGAAATTTGCATTCCATTAGGTATTCTAAAAATAATTATTTGTTTTCATATTCTCTTGTGAACTTCAATGACAAAATACTTATTAATAAAAATATTCAAAGTATCCAAAATAAAAATAATAATTATTTTAATCAAACATAAGTTGCTAAACTGTAATTCTTATATGTTGAAAATTAAATTAAAATTGCATTATTCTCTGTGGAATATACTTGAGCGCTAAATAATATAGCAATATTGATATTTTTAAATTAGTTTAATAAATAAGTATTGAAATTATTCGTGACAAATATAGTTGAAAATGACAATAAAAGTTAAAAATATTGAAATCATATATTCCATAAATCTAAGATTTAGTGTAAATACCTACGGTTCTAGATTATCAATTTACAATTCGAACATAAAATAATGAAATTTGGCGCAGTAATATTTGGAATGAAAAAAAATTATCTTACTAAATGTATTTTTAAATTCACTTTACAATTCATTAATATTGAACTTCTTTTGAAACTATTAACAACATAGTTTGTTCGCAGTTTTGGATGATCGTCACGGGAACACAAACTAGTCATAATATTAAATTATATAAAAATAACGTATAGAGATTTAGGAAATGAACAAATGATTGTTGACATTTTCTGCCTAGGATTGAAATTCAATTGTAATTATAAAAAATCCTTATGAATTTCACGATTGTTCAAATTTAATTGCGTGTATCATAATTCTTTATCGGTCAATAAATTTTCAAGATCAGTTGATAACGGATTAATTTGTTAAACATTATGAACTTGAACAATAAACAGAAGTATCTCATTGAGATGAAATACGTCTTTCAGTTTTTATGCCCAGAAATATTATATGATTCTAATGGAGATTAACAGGAGGTAGATAAACTTTGATGATAGTGTATTATTTAATCTAACCAAATTTGAATGCATGTGTGTAAAAAAAAAACATTCTGCAAGATGTTTATAATTGTTTCGTTTTTGTTTTATTACTGCTACGCGTGCGCATATTCTGTTTTAGCCGAAAAAAAACGCAACTCATTCACAAGTAATCATTAACCGGTAATTCCTATTTAATTTTAATATTAGACTTCCTTGGTAATTTTACTCGTACTACATATTATTCTTTTATAGACGTTTCTCTATGCATCATATGCACTGACAAATTGCTTGTTATGAACACATTGAACCGAAAACAAATAGTACTATATTATCCAAAGACAACGATAATTACGTACGATAATATTGCATATTAAAAAGTCACTCAGTACCTGTAAAATACGTGTACAAATTAATTAGCGATGTATAATGCAAAACAATGACTGTACTTTTAAAATAATATTATCTACGTCTAATTTTTATCACGTTCTCAGATTATCTTCTGTAAGTCTGTTGATGAATCCAATGGGAGATTTCCCAAAATAAGAATGATAATACTTATATATTTTTAACCAAGTTTCCTTTTAAATTCATTGGATGGGATATTGAAATATAAATAATAAATAAATAATAAAATGGTAATAAATTTATAAATAAACAACATTGTTTAATACCTACAAGACGAATTTTCAATCAATTTACTGTTGAACGAATTTTTTATTTTAAAAAAAAATATTTCTTTAGGACTTAATATAATCAATTGTAAAAAAATACACTTATTCCATTGCGTAGAATAATTGTATTAGAATTACAAAGATTTAGTAAGTTAAAAAAAGTTGTACCAATCTTAAGGGTATGCAAAATAATCAAAGTTTCAGCTAATTCAAGACAAAAGGAAAAAAACAAGTGTTTCCTTGTAAATACTGTAATCTATAATATTTAATATTATAAGTTAAGTTATGCAACTTTAAAACATAATATTTTTGTACTTCATTGACTATTTGTTCATTCGAGAATAGATGAACGTCTTCCCTACCTATAACTGAATATATACATCTACCTCACATGTTTTGTTAACGAAACACGTTCTTTGTTGATTTATGTTTACTTTTCATTTGAGTACCGTTTACTGAATCCGCGTCCTATACCAATACCATTTATCTTATTACTTTATTAAACTACTCGATGTATGTGAAAAATACAAATTAATTTAAATCAATATTGTTCCTGTTCATCTCTCAATTTGTTGTTCGATAGCCTGAGTAATTGAATTTAGCTTTATGACGATATATTAGAGTATTATAATATTTTTGTTTAACTTTGCTGTATGTACAGTAATTTTTTTTCTTCATGCATATTATAATACTCGATCATCTGTAATGTATCTGCAATATATTTTTATATTAAAAATAAAAAAGTAACATAATTTTATTATGTATCATGTTTCCAATATGCTAGATAATTCAATTTTTAATTTTGAAATATCTATAGAAATTATTATAATAGTAGTAATAATTTATATATAAGACAATAACTAGTGCCTTAAACCTACATAGTATATTATACCAACTAAATCTATACTTCAAAATTCTCATAAACTAGGTATTGTGTATATTTAATTAATCAACATTTTTTACGACCCAAACAGTCTTGATCGATGCATTTATAAATTAAATTCAAAACAAATCAAATACTAAATTATCTACAACTATCTGATATTCTTATACCTACCATATGTGTTGTTTAAAACATCAATATAATAGAATGTCCTACTTTAACGAGCTTAACCAAATAACAAATTACGTTGAATTTATAGTTATTAAATAAAATGCAACTTCTCAACATTACTCAACGTAACATACTATACTATCTTATTAAAAATATGAGTGCCTATATGAGTGTGTTTATGTAATAAAATGTGATAATTTCTTACTTATGTTATTATTTTTTTTTGGCCATAAGTGTTGGACCATTTGTCCAGAGAAAAAAATGATATTTGGTATTATTTTCACCAGCCAAGGCGATTGAACAATAAGTGACACGAAAAAGAAGTCAAGTGCGAATAAAAGGTCAATTACAAGTGGAAGCGAACAGGTATAGACCGATTTATGCGAGAAAAGGAGAGAGAAAGAGAGATATAGGGGAGAGGGAGTCTAAAGGAAAGAGAAAGATCAAGAAAGACGGTGAAAGAGGGGATCGATTTCGACTCATCCCAGTTCTGACCCTCAAAACAAATTACGCCAGCAGTGTAATATGTAAGCAAGCTTGTAATGCATATATAGGCGCCTAGGTGGGGAAGTTTATGCGGATTACGCGAGTATATAACCAACGAACCGACAGACATATGCCTTCTATGTTGCAATAACCGTATATATTTATTTAATTTTTTTTTTCACTTTCATTTCTGTCGAGAGTCCGCGAGCTCAAACCTAGAATCCGATCCAGTCTGACGCTGCAGGCTCGTCGTCGTACCTCTTTCATTTTCGCTTATCGTGCATTATTTTACACTGTTCATAGTAAACTCATTTATAATTTTCGTTTTCGTTTAATCAGAGAGTGTTCAGCTTAGCTATTATGCGTGTGTTGCGTTTTTCCATCGACTATATTGTGATTAGTGAAAAATTCAAGTGGTTCACTTGACAAACGCTAATCAACCACATATTTTTTATCCAACACGTTGGGTTGGCGTGCGATAAACCATCCAGGGAACTTTGACTTAGGTGATCACACATAGACGGAATAGCAGGTAAATTTTACGATGATTTACTTATCTTATCACTCGACGTAGCTTATAAATATATATGTTTATGATGCATTTGCATTTAACACAATTTTGATTTGACTGCAACTTTTCAAGTAGGTGCTGTAACTTATATCCGACTCCTGGCGCCTAATCAAACTATTTGATTTAAAAGTAATTTAACTTTAAATGAAAAAATTTGTCTTTTAATATTGTTTTTGAATACTATACGAGATCGACGTTCAAACATGTAGACAAACAAAAATTTTATTTCTCATTTTGCTCATATGGTTCGTCTATTTTTGATAAAATATTCATGTATATTATATCATAAAAATTAGAACAGTTTGTAAGAATTATGTACATGTTTGTGCGTTTTATTTTTGTTAGCTTGCCCAGTGGAACAAGTTCGATAATCTTAGACTATAAGTGAATGTTACGATAAAAAGTACACAGCGAGTGTATTGAAAATTGCATAATCGTATAAATTTTTATAGAAATCGCAGCACTAGGTCAATATTCTTTAAACTAGTTTACGAGACGGGTATTATTATTTAATGTCGATTATTATTTAACTTTTAATGCCAGGTGTCGAATACATTTTACGCGTAGGGAGATGTACGCAGTGCGTTTGTTTTGAATATAATATCAATTGTCCATACGAAAACTTCCGATGTATTTATTTATGCAAAGGTGAATAACTAATTATACACAATTATGTAAATAGAAGGTATCGTACGAAACCCCGAATCTTGCGAAACAATATCACGCAAAAATGCATCATTACGATTTTATCATCCATGGAGTTGTGACGATCTTCAGCACATATTTATGTGACCCAAAAGATCGGCCAAAAAAAATGTTTATTACTTCGTATGAGCAATACCTAAATAACACACAACGAACTCTATACTCAACGTACTCAGTAGACGTGAGGAAAAAAACTCGAATTGTATAAGAAACGCTTATAAGTTAATTTAATTCTGAGACTTTGAATGGCCTAAAATGATTTAAATATAATAACATAAAGGATCTCCTGAAAAAAGTCCAATTTGATTTTTACGACCAATAAAATATTCAAGGTCCTTTTCATATTATTGTTGTGTGAATCGGCAAATTCCTATGACTAAGTTTGATCATATTGTAAATTATAAGTTACAATAAAGGACTATTTTCTTCTAAAATGTCCAATTGTAAATCTTTGTATTATATTTTTCTGGATAATTTATACAAATAATATTAGTATTATGATCTAAAATGTATTCAAGGAATTGAAACTATAAACGATAAAAATATTAGTATCATAATATTGATTTGTTAACTTATTTTACATAACTGATTTAGATTAAAACGTACTAAAGTAATTCAATTATCTAAGTACTTTATGTTTTCATGATGAGATTATTCTCACATTGAAATCAAAGGGACTCAAACTCAAATTAAAATATAATTTCTAATAACATTTTTGTATTATAAAAATAAACTATTCCTTTATTTTAAAAGTATATTGGTTACATAATCAAACTTAAGAATATTTCGACACAAAGCTTAATAAAATACTTGATTAATTAATCACTCTTAAATCATCGAAGAGATAGTTTAAAAAATAAATCGCTGTATTATAAAATTATCATAATTGTACACCTAATTGAACTTTTTCACAGTAACAAAAATATGTATACATATTATACGTAAAATAGAATAATATAGTATAGTTATTGTATTATTAAATAAATACAATTAATTTTCGATAAATTGCACATTATTTCAATTCAATATTCAGTTTCACTTTCATAGTTTTGAGTACACCTATAATTATCTTATACCTAATCTACTTACGACTGTTTTATTTTTTCTGCCCTATTGGTATCGGTTGCTTAATCGTGAAAGTTAACAATAATGCTAAAATCATTATGTTGCTTTACAAAAACATTCAAAAACGATTAAATGGTTTAGTGTAGTAATTGCTATCAAACCAGAATCCTACTGCAATAATTGATTATGATACACGTTTTCGTATTATGCTGATGTAGTGGTACTGTTAAGGGCGGTTGTAAAATACAGTATATTGTCGTAACATGTGTACAAAAATAATTGATGAAACATGTAACTAAACAAGATAGTTATAATACATCTACCACGTACCTTTTATATTCAGGGAAACTATCCAAAACACCGCGAAATGGAGAAGATGAGGAAAGCATTAGCCGTTCTTTAAAACTGTACGACAGTTGGTTTGTTTATAAAACAATCGTGGGCGGGATAATAATGTTGTCTTTTTTCGATTTTACTTAAACTCGTATCAATTATACAATGAACAAATGTTTTCTCGTTCCTTTTCATTACGATTAAAATGGTAAAAGTGTCGAGAATTTAACGCTCGGCAATCCTTTTAGTTAGACACTGCGAACGCGGTCTGTCTGTGTTCGTGTGCAGAATATTTGATCGGCCGGTTAAGAAATACACCAAGGGTGTTCGTTGTACACAAAACATAAGCTGCAGCGTGTACTCATCGATCACGCGGACACCTCAGACGTATAATCAATTCTGTATGTTTACATTTTACTATTCCAACCGTTGCAGTAGGTATACGTTAATTGACCATCAATGATGTAATTACGCACGCCGATCGATACCTCGACCTATATGGACTGCGCGAAATGATTATCATTACGGTTTTACGAACGCTACGTTATAATTATTATTATTATTATTATTATTATTGGCCGAGGTAGATAAGTAGCAGCGTACAATAGTGGGTAACCAATACGATAAATCCATATTAATCATTTACGGTGGTATAATAACGCGATTAGTACGCGGTAAAGGCAAGTCGCGCGTCCGGATCGCGTAAACCAATAATAACATCGTTTTTTTTGGCAAACCAACGACCTCATAATGTCGTCCCGTAATAACGATGACCTTAGGTGTTATGCTGAGAATTTGCGGTTTCACATTTCTCAGCAATCAATTTTGATAATTTCTCGTGTTTCCCTCGGGTTTCGGATGGGCATTGTACACGCGTATGGCCACATTAGGTATGGCGATTTCCGCCGTAAAAACAAATCGTTTGTACTGTCATCATTTCGTCTCTTGGATCGCAATTAAAACGTCCCGCGATAAACAAGACCTCGTCTCAAAGTATTCATATGTCATCAGTTTTCATATACAATGTAAAATTATTTATTTTTTAACGAATAACAGACATCATCTACCGGTAGTCAAATGTTTCCCAGACGATTACAATTTTTATGTATCTTAATCGTCTATAGAATATGTACACATGAATTGTACAAGTAACAATTTATTATAGTTGATCGGTTGTAATCAATTACACATTAAACTATACATTTACGTTTATATTATTGTTTAAACAATAAAGTGTACAACGCTAATGGAACGGGATAGTTGATTTTTCTTCGAATTACTAGTAATTTCCAATATTATTTTATATTAACGTTTTCACATTAGTTCAGTACAATAGTATTGATTTTTCATTCACATTTAACGTAATCAAAGACCGATTATTCCGACATCTCACGGTTCCCTCACATGTTCTATACATACGATGATATTCATTATGATATGGTATTATACGATGCTGCGAGACATGCAAATTAATGTAAATATTGTGAATTTAGGAAAGCCGGTAGCACTTTCATTCATTTTGCGGTCAATGTTAACTAGAAACAATAATGTGAACATTTGTGTATTTCACATCGCAACTAACGACCACGACCTTGCGATAATTTCCTCGGTAAGCCTTGAGGCAACCCAGAGAAAATATCCCATGTTCTTATAATATTATTAAACGAAATCAGGGGTGGATCTATAGAAGAAGGGTAACGTGGTGATCGCTCTCCCTTGGACTTTTTTTATCATAAATTTATTTTATATTTTTAATAAAGGTAGACAGTCATACAGATATACATAATTAATATTTATTAATACTTACTATCGAATACTACTCGTATGTATGTCTTAGTATAGATAGCATATTTCATGATAATAAATAATAGTATAGTATATAATACAATAATTGTAATAGTATTCTTATTTGCCTTCCCCCTATAAAAAAATCTTCAGGTCCACCCCTGAATAGAGTAGTGTTTAATTTTTAATCGAATTTTTATTATTTTTTTTTTTTTTGTGTATACAGAACCCGAATGAAACATGGCGTCGGGTCTGGTGAACATGGCCATCGACAGATATATAAACCTTGTGGACTCCATCAGCGGTAATTATTATTATTTTTTATTATTATTTATTTATTACTTATTTATAATACGAGACTGTCCCAATTCGAATTCAATATCAATTTATCAACATCAATAAATCGGATGCAAAAATGTATGAACGTTCAAATTTTTATAAAAATGAAAATTATCATATAAATAAAGTAAAGTTTAAGTTAAATAAGAATAAATAAGTAATAATATTAGTTGTAAATTAAAAATATAATTAAGTATATTGGTAATAAAATCTAGTAATTGTTTTATTTTCGTATACTCATGATATAAAATCATAGCGTGGTAAAAAATAATTATTGTATATTTTTACGACATCGTGAAATAATTCAGATCAATCTATATTGTTTTTAAATCTCGGTGTACAACATTAAAAAAGCATTGTTTTCTTCTCATTTTTATTTAGACCCGCGAGTGAACGACTGGCCACTGATGGACAGCCCATTCCCAACACTGATCATGGTCATCACATACTTATATATCGTCACGTACCTGGGGCCTAAGGTAATGGCCAACCGAAAACCCTTCAAACTGAACAATGTTCTAGTGATTTACAATGCTGGCCAAGTCGTCTTCAGTTTCGTCATGCTGTGGGAGGTAGGATCTATTGTTCATAGCTTACAAGTTTATAGGATTTAGGTACATTGGAATGGAAAACTTGTGTTTTCAATCATAATTCAAAAAAACGTTTCGCAATAAAAACGGGTTTTATCGTTTTTACGGGTTTTATAAGAACGAAAGTGTTCACAGGAGGATAAGAAAAAATATACGGTTTTGAGTGTCAGTGGGTCAAAATTCTTCTGCGGATGCAGAGAAATTAATGTTATTTCCAAGATATTATAAAAAATAATGACAAATAATAGTTAATTTTGTTATATAACATGTAATATAACCTATTCCGTGAAATGATCAAAACGTTTGAAAAAATGAAATATACAAATCGACGAAAGCACGATGCATAATTTCGTCATTGTCTCAATAACCGGAATTCATTACGTATACGCTCTGTAGCAGGGATAGCTCCATGTGGTCCGAGAATGTGTTCTCTACAACTTTATTCATACGAAATTCCCCCCCACTCTACTACATATCGTATGTTTCTAAATTATACTTGTTCTTGCAGTTCGTATTCTAAAAATAAATTATACGCATATTCAGGTATACCTTGAAATGTTTTATTGTTTAATGGGGGGCTCGTTTGAATATTGTCATAATCGGAGAACGAAATGTTTGACACTACCCGTTCGCGTTTCCGAAGAATATCGAACACGAGCACAGGCTTTTTTCATGACAATGCACTCTTCGCGCTCGAGGAATTTGTAAGCGTATCTGACCTTGACCCATTTCTAATGCTTGTCCAGACGGTTTTTATACTTATTTTCGAAAACCGAACGCCGACATTGAAAGCCGTTGTATTACGCAACCGCGAATACCAAAAGACGGGTTTATCGACGTTACCGCATTCGTTCACCTGCGTCAATGTTTCCCAATCGCGTTTGAGCACTGCACACGGGCGACCGGAGAAATACACTCGGTGGACCGTCCGTAGACGTCCACGATTTTTCCGGCCTACTGTCGAACAAATTTGAACGCGTGCGATCCCCCCCCCCCCCACGAAAAAAAAAAAAAAGAAAAATTAATCGCCCCGCACGTTCGGCGAAGTATTTAAAAACAAATTAAATCTACACGTATAAACAAACGGACCACTTTCGTGTGGATCGCGTACCACCGGTTGTTAGTAAGTTACGAAACCACGAGTCGGCGGCCGCCCGATCGGTGGGCAGGTAACACACTCGTACCGCGATCGTTTCCAGTTTCGGATCGTCGTGCACGGTCGACGCGGGCCGCACCCGTCGGTTTTCGACACGCGAATTCGTAAACCCGACGTATCGAAATCTCCCTATTGTGCGTTTGTTTCGGGTTAACGTATTTACCAGAACGGCCGGTAACCCGTTTCTCGTCCTGCGGTCCTACACGGTTGTACGCAACACGTATTGCTCGGCCGGCGAACGTGAGAGCTCGCACACGCCCCGCGCCAGAAGAACGTTTGGTCGCGCGCGTTTCTCGTAACGTCATGTCCGCCGGTCGGTGACGCAACACGCGGCCGGGCAACGCGGCGGCCCTCTCCGCCCGTCCGCGATCGTGATGCAATCGCCGCGTCGCCGACCCAACCCCGGCCCGTTCAGCGTTCCTTTTCCTTCTTCTTCTTCTTCTTCTTCTTCTTCTTCTTCTTCTTCTTCTTCTTCTGCGCCGCCGACGCCGATACTTTCACTCGGACCGGGTCACCGCATCGAGGTCATGATCACGCGCGAACCCGTACCACGTGTCTGATCGGTCACCCGATCGTACGCGCACGAACCGCGCAGTCTCCCGATCGCACCGGGTACGCGGCGCACGTCCGTTTCTTCGTCGGCTTCAAAGGTCACGGCGAGGACGCTCTCGCGCGAACGGCAATCGTGCACCGAATACCAATCGATTTCCCTTCCATTTTGTTCTCGCTCGGCGCACCGACACAAGAGGTCCCGTCGGTTTCCACCAGCTTTCGGACCGGTCGAGACACCGGTACGAGGAAACGTACGTGACCGCCGCGGAAACCTACCGGACCCCCTTCGGACCGCGCGAACCCGTTAAACGTGAAAAACTGCCCCGGTTGTTTTCCCGATTTCGTCGTCCGCCTCCTGGCGGCCTACATTCGTCGAACCGGGCATAACCGACCCTACCCCTTTCCCTTTCCGACCACGGAAAGGTCGATTCACTCTTCGGCCGGCTAAAACTAAAAGTTCAACTGCTATACTTGATACTGATGGAAAAAGTATTAAACGTATAGAAAGTATTGATAGATCAATGTTTTGTTTGGCCGTTATCTGATTTTTATCAGCGCTTGTCCACTACATATGTGTTTGGAGTAATTACTTTAAACGAACTTAACGAAACCACGCCTAAAAATTATTATTGCATTATTTTAATAACATGTTATAAAATTTGACTGGTGGACAGTTGTTAGGACGAACGAAGAAAGTAATATGGCTTGATTTATTTGAATTTATTTGGATTTTCTATAGTGTGAACAATTTTTCAAGTAAATTGAGGTTATAATTTGAAACTTGCAACTATGGAATTAGAATCGGAGGCTAAGATACTAAGTATTAGTAGTAATAGTAAAGTATTTTGAATAGTGAAGGTTAGGTTAGGTAAGGTTAGATATATCTGTAGTGTAGTTATAAAAGAAGAGAAAGGTCACCTTGTGGCGCAAGTCGTTTATTGAAAATTGGTTTGAAAGAGTTATTTATACTTATTTGGAAAGAGCGATAATTGAGATAAGATTTAAGAATTAAATAATATAAAGTTGGGAAGTTTTTTTTTAATTTAAGGAGCAGTCTGTCGAGCCATATTTTGTCGAACGCTTATGTGACGTATAGAGAGATACCTGAGCAATATTTTTTTTTTATTTTTTTTCGAGGGGTAATGAGATAGCCTCAGTAAGACGGCGAAGAGGATGAATAGTATAATGTTTATTTCGGAAGCCAAATAACGCATTAGGAATAATTTTTATTTATTTTTGAGACACTTTGTAAATGTTTTAATAAACGTTTTACAAATAACTTTCCAATAGATGGAAAGAGACTGATTGCACGGTAAGAAGATGCATTATTTTTGGGCTTGCCTAGTTTAGACACTAGTATGATTGTTCATAGTTTCCAAAGTGACAGGAAATAAGCAAGTCAAACATTTCATTAAAATATGAGCTTGTTGAGAAATTTTTTTGTTTGAAAATTTTTAAAATTGTCTGATTATATTATTTGTAATCAGATCCGGTCGACATTCGTTTTTTTTTTTAATTGTTAATTGCACATTTTATTTTATTTGAACTGAAGTTTTTAGTGGTCAGAGCGTTGTTTATTGATTGACTAATTTTGATTAAATAATCATTAGGCAGGTTAATATTGTTGGGTTTTACTACTTTGTAAAAATATTCTACAAATGTGTTCGATTTTCTATGTCAAATATGGCTTGTTATTTAGTAGTTTTGTTGGTGGGATCGGTTCTTTATGATTTAATATTGTTTTCGTTTTACGGTTCGATAATCTATGATGTATTTTTTATTTTTCGATCGCCCCTCTCGAATTTTCGACCTTGGTGAGATTTGGCAAGTGAACATTTCTAAGTTTTATATATATTTCAGATTGCACCTCATCAAACATTGTTGATATTTATTTGATATTTTTATCTTGGTAATAAACGATACGTACCTACATGGTTACTCACAATTAAACTCAACGACCACCGATAATATCATCGTTTGTATACAGATTAAAATAGATTTAATCCCTTTCTATCATTATAACATATAGTTTAGCAAATTTAGTTCAATTTTATGGTTTAGTCGAAAAGAGAATCTATCTTTATTAAACTTGATCGAAAAGTAAATTAGTCGAAAAGAGAAAGGTACGTTTCAGGTCAAAAAGGGAATCCTAGTTTGGTAAACGTGTACCATTGAATATCGAATAAATTGCTACATTTCGAATAAGCGCAAAATATTATGTTATATGGTGCTCCGAGAACAATAAATTGTTTCTACCTTTTAAGACGAAAGATCGTAAAATCTTGACTTTGACACGTGTTTACCAAATAATCGATAAGCTCCGTAATCCTATTTGATCTATTTGAACAGAAAACATTTTAAGTTAAAAAAATCACGATCATTTTGCGGTTTTAGAAGAGTGAATCTGCCAAACGTTAGCTAAACGGTTAGCATCGAATAAGTATATGATACTTTGTTACTTCGTATGTGATCGCCAATATCAGTTCTAAAACGTGTATTAATGTATTGTATTAAAATTGGCCAAGAAGATTTACACATTTTTTAACTGAAATTTTCGACATTGTTATATCAATTTTATTATGAATACCAGCGATTCACTAAGTGTGTTCACTAACCTAAGGGTTCCGTGGAGCAATCTAAATGATTTCGCAAGATTGTACGATGTGAGTGCTGGAAGTAGTAATTGTAATAAAAAATAATCACGAACTATCTATAAAACATTTTTTAAAGTATTGGTATTTCAATAATTAAATTAATAATCGGAGTTCAGTTGCAGTTGGAGATAATAGTGGTTCCGCGAAATACAAACTATTTCCTAATGGTTCAGTGGACTTAAAAGTTTGGAAATTGCCGATGTATGCTAAATATTTGTTAATTGATTCCGACAGAAATGAATGTTTAGTTCTGATAACTTTTCATGTAAACACGTTAAATGCTGTAACGTAACCATTTATTTATTTTTATTTGCTTATTTGATAAAAAATAAAACAGAGTAGAAGAAGCAACTGTTGTATAATCTATAAATTTTAAATAAATAATAAATAAATAAGCTACTGCAATATTCAAAAATGCATGTATAAAATATATTAAATTTACTAAAAACGATAGTACTCAAATAATACGAAGACTTAATCTTATAATTCTTATACTTACAATTTCAAATCTTATCTCTATTTGAAAATAAAATTCTTATGCTTACAATTTCATATCTTATCCTTATTTAACCTATTCTTACGGTATCCGAATCTAAATTCAACGCCAACTTCAAGTGGTTCACCATTTTCACTAAACACGTTGGCGGATAATTGAAAATAAGAGATATAAAAAAAAGCATCAATTTTTTATTACTTTTATAAAAAAAAAGTATAGTTCATCATACTGCTCAATAAATGCTACCTTACGTCACTATTGAAGTGTACAGAATTGATCTGTTACTCAAACATTAAGCATTTCAATTGCTGTTTTAACTGATTTTCTAAAAGCTTAATACAAAAATTGCAACAAAAAAAATTAATAATTTAATAGATAAGATATGATAAATAAAAAAAAAAGTAGAAAAATTTGGAGTTTCATAAGTACATAACATATGTGTATACTCATTTTAACGGGGCTGAATATTATATATTAATTATGTTACTGTTCATGTTCTTACATAGTCTTACCAATGTATAATTTACTGTTCATCAAGTCGCTATCGAAGCAACGATCCTGTACAATTATCTCAATATTTGTGCGTTATCACTTTATCTTTTAATCAACTGATCTAAAGGTACAAAGATGGTTATTTTATATTTTATTATAAATTTGTTACGGTATTCTTCGCATGATACACCCGAGGTTTAATAAGGTTAGCAAACAATAAATAATAAGTGATTTCAAAATCATAATTATAGTAAGAATAAAAATTGTTTTTAAAGTTGGATAATTAAGCCTAACTAATATACACAATATACATACGTATAGGAGTTTACGTACACATTGAATTAAAAATTAATTACTAGCGTAAAAAAAAAAAAAAAATGAAACACGCAAAATAAAAATTAAAAAATATTTAACTACGTTATATAAATGCCTATTCAAAGAATTATTTTAAAGTACGGGTACAAAAAAACCCTCTTTAAAAGTTTAAAAACTGTTCTGATACATTTAATAGTACATTATTCTAAATATTGAAAATAATAACTGTTCGTTTATGTACGAATATATATTCGTAACATTAAATAACTTCAATTATATGTTTAATTGCATATTTAAGGAAATATACATGTTTCAATTACAGTTCTTTAATGTGGGTCACTTCAATTTTTCACTTAAACATAATTTTGCGCAATTTTGACGCTACGTTGAGTTTTGTAAAATGTTGTAATCCTTAAGCCCCTACGCGGTGTAGGGAAATTAAAACATAACCCTTTCCTTCTGATGGGTTTACAGATACGTTTCACTAATCTATCGCTGACAAACCACAGTAACGTTGCTATGCCAATGTTTTGTATTGCGAAACGTACAGAATTGTCGAGAAACCGTTAATTATAATAATAATGATAAAAAAATAAAATAATTATTATGTCACCCGGTCGACCACTGGAACGTTATACGCCTCAGGCTATCGTATACAACATATTGTTAGTAGCTACCTCGGTATTATATGGATAATATTGAAGTGTAGTATGTCTTGGAGTTTTCACTGAAAACTAAATATTACAACATTGTGATGAGAGAAAAATAATTATTTCCATACGACCCATATTGAACATAATGTATTCGCAACACATTATATACGAGATAAATTGGCCAATATAATGAACAACAAAACATAAAGTTAAATTGTTTTTTATTATTGTTTTTATTCTAGCACTTGATGGGCGGATGGTTGTTGGACTATAGCTATAAATGTCAACCTGTCGATTATTCGCAGAGTCCTACCGCGATGAGGGTACGTAATCGAGATCCGATTATCGGAACGGCACGCGAGGGCGTTAAATTATTTATTTTTTTTTTAAATAATAACGCCAAAATGAAATGAAATCCTATCGTACGACCGCGGAAACTAACTATTATAACGGAATTATATCATTGTATTAACATCGATCTTGTCGATATTTTCAGATGGCCAATTTGTGCTGGTGGTATTACATATCAAAACTGACGGAGTTCGTCGACACGGTAAAGTCCGAACGGTGCTCGATCCTCGCACGTGGCGAGATCGTGTTACGTAACTTTGATGTTATTGCTGTAGTTTTTACAATAACCCCGTCCGGTTGTTTCAGGTATTTTTCGTCATGAGGAAAAAAGATAACCAAATCAGCTACCTTCATCTGTACCACCATTCACTCACACCTATCGAGACATGGATTTGCGTGAAATTCATCGCTGGTAAGTTTCCCGCGACCAACATTATTATACAACAATGCGACGCAATTAGGTCGCTGAAATCGTATTAGTTTTCGCGTTCGAAAGTCCTTAAAGTGCGCGCGTGTACTCGCGGAACCGCTGACCCGGTTCAGATCCGCGCGAACCGGGTCCGGCGGTTTCGGAACGTAATAATATCGTCAGTAGTGTACCCTGAGGAAATGCTATTTGCACGTAGGCAGCCTTACACACGAAATAACGTTTGATGGATATTAGTCACGAAATTACAATTCCCCATCGTTGCGAGTACGCTGTGGACGGTCGAACCGTAAGAGTCGACGAATGGGTCGTCGTATTGAATACACGTCATCGGAATTCAATCATTATGGTTGGTATTTAGAATTCACTCGCGTAAGACGTGTTTACGCGTAAGCATCAGTGGTCCGAGACCAACTGCGGCTCACCAACCACTTGTATGCATAAAAAAAGAAGAAAAAAAGCGCTTTTTCTCCCCGCGATTATTAGGAACAACTTTTGACGTATATCGTTGACATTCGTATTTGTAATTGCTGTCTGTCGTATTCTTTAGGTGGCCACGGAACGTTTTCGAATTTGATAAACAACATGGTGCACGTGATCATGTACTTTTATTATATGATGTCAGCGATGGGACCTCAATACCAAAAATACCTCTGGTGGAAAAAACATTTGACCACCATCCAACTGGTTCGTATAAGTATAAACATATAAATCGAATTCAAGCGCCGCACGGTTTTCCATAAGAATTAAAACGATTTTCCATGATTTGCGCAGCTCCAGTTCACGTTGGTGTTCTTCCATTCAGCCCAAGTACTGTTCTTCGACTGCGGGTATCCGAAAATCGTGGCTGCCCTGCTGTTGGTGCACTCGACCATCTTCTTCGTCCTGTTCTTCGACTTCTACCAACAGGCTTACAAGAAGAACAAGCAGCTCCAAGCGAAATCGCAGTAGACCCGTGACAAGGACGGGACACTGCACGGCGTCGTACACAATTGTTATGCCACGCGCAACGATCGAACTGATTAGCAAACGGCATACCTATGCGAATAATATATTACACAACCATTATTATTTTTATAATTATTATTATTATTATTATTATTATTATTATTATTATTATTATAGTTATTTTCATCATTATCATCATCATATGAAAGTATATAATATATATATGTATATATATATATTAGAAAACGGCTGTTTTGTTTCAACTGAATCGTACAGTTGTGTAGCAGATTGTATTTTTCGTGTGATCCGAAAATTGCTGCTGCAGACTGCCGCTTACTGTGTGTATTATATTATTGAACAGTATACTTTTTTTTTTTTTTTATACTTGTACATGTAACCTATTTAAGTTGTTCCCAAAAAGTAAAATATAAGTCAAACATACATGTCGTCGATTGAGGTTGACTGTTTGAAGCAATCAAATCCGTGCATACATCGACGTTTAAAAATTAATTATACAATTATTATGTGTTAAATTGTAATAATCAAAAACTAGTTTTAATTTTTTTAAATACATATTTTTGTACTGTATGCTCATTAAACTATGAATATTAAGAGTTATTATTATTATTATTATTATTATTATTATTCATACTATTATAACTATACGCTGTATTGAAATATGCAATGATAAGTATTTTACTATATAATGCGTACAAGTAGAAAGTTTTATTAAAACTTGATGTTTATAAATGACTTAATGAGACTTCGAATTTATATCCATTGACAATATTATTTTAATAAATAAATATTATACCTAAAATATAATTGCACTTTACTTTTTTTCGTGTACCGTATGATCGAAACATTCATGTATTTCCACAACCTACATATTATTATGGTTCATAAACGTTTTTTTTTTCGATTCACCGCTAAAGTTCTTTATAAACTAAAATTGGTAACTATATATTCCTGATATACGATTTCAGATTTTTTATAATTCCTTGGAATACATACATTTTTTACACAAATAGTGCCATAATTTTGCTTACATTTTTTCAGCAAATTCATTTTTTATTTAGATTGAACAAAACAGTATACTTTTTTTGCAGTATACTTTCAATGCGTACATTACGATTATAAGGAGCTCTGTGTAGACAATTTGTGTTACATGTAACCAAAAAATAAATATTTTTACACGTTTACGGATACTTTTTAAAATGTATTTATATTCCTACCTCAGAAAATACTGCTGAAGCAGTACTGACCTGCTTTACTCTTAATTTTGAACATAAGTATAACATAAGTATAACATAAGTATTACATAAGTAGTAATGCCCAGTTTCATCTGTTTTTTTTTTAATTACTGCTACAGTAGTAGTAACCAATTAGTTTTTAATCATTTTAATAAAATACTGCTGTGACAGTGACCATGAATGTGTTAAGAAAAAATAGTTAACGATTTTTGGTTGATAAAGTTTTTTCAAACTCGTAGGAATCGTCTTGCTGACCATCATAATATATCGACATATCGTTGTTTAAAGTAGTAAAAAAAAAAAAAAATAATAAAAAAAAAATACTAATGATTCTTAAAAACAAATAATAAGAATTGCGTTTCCTTCTATATATTAAAATGTTTCGTGCATAATATTTAATTAGAAATACAATTAGGACCCCATCAGTATAAGTATTTTATAAATATTTATTATTACATATTTTTAAATCTTAAAACTATTACAATGTTTACATTCTCTTCAGCATCAAAGTATAAGTTTTCTTTATTCAGAAATCGACTAATAAATAAAGTTAATTAATCGGTTTATCATATTTAAATTGAAGAAATACTTTAAATAACATCTGTATACATTAGAAAATATGAATTTCAAGTACTACTTTTGTGTTTATGTTTATTATTTTGTAATTCATTAAAACTAAAATAGATATTTTATTAAATCTATTAATCGATTATATATTAAGTACAGATGAAACTTAAGATTGTTAGTTTTAATAAATACTTTATTGAATATTTAAGAATTATATCTTCAAATCATAGAAAAATTGAAAATTGTTCAGCACATACAATTATACATTTTAGTTAGCTACATTATCAAGAAACAGAAAACATTATTAATTAAATATTAGAATTAGTTCATTTCATTTACATTTAGCCATTAAGGAATTTCAAAAGAATTATTGCTATTTCAGAACTAAGCATTAAACGGTTTTGAAAATATCTTTAGAACACACTAGTGGCTATCATATTATAAGATACTTCAATATTTTACCATCTTACTATTTAACCATTTGTTATATTCGCTCCTATTATTTTTCTGGTCTCATTGAAATTTAGACCACATTAGTACGTGAATTATTATAGTTAAACATCGAACAACGATTTTCATTTTATGTTATCAATTACGGTTAGACGTTTAATCCAAGTACATTTCCATCATCTTATTCTCTGTGAACAATGCAGAAAAAGAAAATAAACAAGTTCTGTCCATTATATTGTGCAAATACGATCTTGTATCATGGCATTCCGCTTGGAAATATATGCAAACACTGCACCAAAAACAACTAAGTAAAATTAATAGTTGTGTGGTCAACACATCTGTCTCCGTCCCCACCACAAACTACTATACTCCATGAGACACCCATGAGGTACATAATAAGTTTTCCATTGATGGAAATAATCTACGAAAAACAATCGCACTGTTTTTATATTCTCAATCGTATATTTATTACGATAACGTTTCCTAATTCAAAACATTATGTTAATGTTTATTTTTTTATTTTTACTTTGATATCTACTATTAATTCGTTTCGAGTTTTACACGCTTTAATGAAGATATTGAACAATAATATTTTGTTAACAAAACTTGTAATGAAAATGTTGAAATTATTTTACGTAGAATATTAATATAAATAATAGCTATCCGAAAAAAGATATATTTTTATTTATTATCATTCATTTCATTCAAACGTATTCGCAATGTTTGTAAATACTTTTCCTATATCGTGATTAACATGATATGTGAGTTGTCCACAATGATTTTTATTTTTTCGAAGGTCTAAACGAGCGTAAGAATAGTTATACAAGGTGAAACTAAATACTTATCTATCAACTAATTACTTTTGTTATTGTGATAAGTTTAACATTTGTATTGCAAAGTCAAATGTCTTCCGTCATGGAATCAACGTACTATAACTACATAAAATACAAAATTCATACAGTGTTTGGAAGGAACGTCATTCACGTTCGTATTTTGTGAACGACACGCAAACTTCAATCGCTTTTTACAAATAGAACGTGAACGTAAACGACATTTACATATTCAATGAATTTTAACGATTTTTGGGACGTTCGAATTTATTTAAAATTTTAGAAATAGAATTGTAAATAGTAAATATTTATTATAATATGTTCAAATAATACTTAAACAAGTATAGGTTTATAATAATACTTAATCAAGTATAGGTTTTAAATATGAAGTGAAATATACCTAACACATTTTGTAAAGGTCCTATGTATAAAAAAAATCCAGGTGATTCGTAAATATGTAAATATAAAATAAAAAATTTTCATTGAATTACTAACTGAACGCGTTAATTTTTTTTATAGAACTTGAACGTGAACGTGTTAAAAAAAATGAACATGAAAGTGAACAAGCTCCTTTTTTACGCACTTAACGTGAACGTTAACGAATTCAATTTTTAAGTGAACATTCCAAACACTGAATTCATATGTATTATATTAGCATATGGCATCGGCATAAAAAAAAAAATTAAATAAATAAATAAATAATAAGTAAATAGATAAATAATTAAAAGACATGTAAAAACAAATTAGGTAACAAATTAGATAAATACAAAAAATTTTTTGGTAACTAAAAATGATAACTTATAGATGGACATCCAGATTGGTTAACCATTCAGCCGTATCACTATCTCCTTGATGAATTCCAAACATTCCTCCAAAATATTTCCTCCGGGGCACAATTCTACGATGTGTCTTACCGTTTGAAGTTCACTGGACTCACAAAGTGGAAACTCAGTCATCCCCCACTTATAGAACAGGTAGTGGCACCTACCCTGCTCAGTCCTTATTTTATTAGTTGTTGTCCAGATCAAGCGTGGAAGTTCGAAACCAGAAAGTTTCTTAGTAGGATCTTAGATGAGTACTGAATTTTTTACTGAAACTTCCATTCACTATACTAACCATTGATTCTTCAAGTCCAATTTAATATTAAGAGATTCTCATAGCGGGTTTCTTGATTTTAGTCTTTTAGTTGGGTGATTGAAAATATCTGCGTTAGCCGGTAGGTTAGGGTTTCCTTTTATTTTAAGCAGTAGAGAACAGGTTGCTGCTTGCCTTCTTAAGTTTGGCGATGCAATATGCGCTAAGACTGGTAGCCATTGTGTTTGTGTGCTTTTAACAGTGCTTGAAATTATCCTCATTGTATGGTTCATCTGTGTGTTGATTTTCTTACAGTGCGCGCTTCTTAACCATCTGGGAGCGCAATACTCAACTATTGAGCTGAGGTTCTTAGTGTGTTTGCTTTACATCCCCAACCTGTTCCTGCCAGTTTAAATATTATATTATTCCTCATTTTTAGTTTGTCTTTAAGAGCATCTAAGTGTTTTTTGAAAGTCAGAGTCCTATCTAGTTTTACCCCCAGGTATCTAGGAAAATTGTCATTAGGAATGCGAGTTCCGTTCACCATAATTTGTAGTTTAGTACTGGCCTCGCGGTTATTAAGGTGAAAGGCGATTGCTGTCGATTTACAGTCGTTTAAGGTAAGGTACCAAGTTTTGAAATATTTTTGAAGTTTAACAATATCTTTGTCAAGAGTACTTTCTACTTCGGACATAGTTGTCCCTTGTGCAATAAAGTCTACGTCATCTGCATAGGTAAATTTCCTAAATGTAGTATTGACAATGTCTGCTGTATATAGCAGAGGAGGGCCTAACCTCCTATATACAGGAGGGGTGATGTCGAACCTTCCCGTGGTCCTTCTTGTGAGTAGTGTTGTTATTACACCAAAATATATAATCAAGTGCATAGTTTTGCGTTTATATATGATGACAGCACGAAACGAAATGACATAAAACCGGTGGCCAAACGTCCCTTGACTTCCTGGCCTGATCGGCGAAAAGCCTTTTTAAGGGCTTCTTCAACAAAAGATAGAGCGTCTGGATATCAAAAAATTCAAAAAACCCAAAAAAAAAAACAAATCAACTTTCTATTCCTGGTAATACTGTTGATAATACAAACTCAAAGAACAACCTAAGAATAGTACAACTAAATTTCGAGGGAATAACAAAATCAAAAGCAGAAATAATAAGCCAGATTTTCAATAATACTGATTTTTTTGGTTATACAAGATACCCATGTTCCTATTGACCAAACCAACCGACTAAAAATTAATGGATTTCAACTAGTGAATTTTTCAGGCCACCCAAAATATGGCTCAGCTACATATATAAATTAGAACTGGCATCCTCGCCAAGTATTCATTATCGAAGACAACGAACACTCAATAAGAGTGCGTTTAAGCAATCTAAATATTTTTAACATATACAAGCCTCCGTCCGAACACTGGTCATCATAAGTTCTTCCAACTAGTAACCATCCAGCTGTGTATATTAGTGATTTTAACTGAATTCATATGACGTAGGCTGTACCATAGCTAAAAAAAATGTAGATTGTGGAGTATTTGAAAAAATAATGAATGGACAGATGAATAAAAATACAATACACTCTAGCAATATGTTTATTCTGTTATTTATCATACAACCAACCGTTTACTTAAGTCGTTCATTTTAATTTAAAAATAATTTTTAGTGCATTTGAGTATTGCCTTACGCATTTCGATGAATAATAATAACAAAACAATTCTTCACTTGTATAGGAATTAAAAACCTATCGTATCAATATTATCACTGGAGGTTTTTCATGTTTCTTAAATGATCTTGCATGATTTCGCGAAGTTTTATTTTTTGAATTTTTCCAGTAGTTGTTTTTGGAAAGTCTTCCATAATTAAGACGTATTTTGGAACTTTGAATCTTGCGATCTATTTCAGGATAAAATTTAATAAACTTTAATTTATCAACGCCATAAGACAGTATGCAAATACTTACATTTCCATTGCAATAATTTTTAACGGTTTCATCGTCGAGATTGGATTCATTTGTTATTTTTATCGCAGCACACACTACTTCGCCAAGCCGCTCGTCTGGTATTCCAAACACCTTTTTAAACATAATACAAAAAAACAATTGTTATAAATATAAATAACACAAGTTATCAGTACAAACTTGAGCTTGGATTATTTCTGGATGAGACTCCAAAAAATATTCAATTGACTGTGGTTGAATATTTTCTCCACCCCTAATAATTATGTCCTTGATCCTACCAGTTACCATGCCATAACCATCTTCGCTCAATATTAAAATATCCCTGAAAATCGAATGTACAAAAGGCCCCTTTAATTAAATCCTATGCAGCAATATTAATTATCTGTTTTAAAAATACCCTGATCTTAACCAGCCATCTTCTGTGATCGCTTTCTTCGTCATTTCTTCGTCATTCCAATAACCAGGCATCACGTTGTAACCCTTAAACCACACTTCTCCAGGTACGCCCATCGGAACAGTGAGCCCATTTTTGTCAACCACTTTAACCTTTGCAAATGTATTATATTAATGTTAAAATATTAGCAAACTGCATTTTTGTGAAAATAAATTTTAAAATTAAAGTTAAACAGTGTACTTAAAAAGTTTAATTTCTTTTTGAATAAAAAAATAATGTGTTAAATCTGTTTGTTTATATTTAGTATAATTTGTATTGTCTTTTCTCTTTCGTTACCTTTTTAAAAATATACTTAAGAAGATAATTAATTACATTAATAAATATATGTTCATTATATTTTATATTAGAATATTAATTATTCATTTACGATTATTAATAACTAAATTTTGATTGATATAGTTACTTTATGAATATATAATAACAATTAAATTTAAAATATTATTCAATGAATACATAATTAAAAATGTGTACAATTATAGAGTGAAAAACAAAAATATAAAACTTATACATGACTAATCCAATGATTTAATAATTTTCAAATAGTAGGGTTATATATTACGGCGTATTAAATAGGCAATCTTATATTATTTTTACATTTATGTATAATTTCATCTCCATTTTTAAGGGGTTAAGTTCTAAAATATTGATACAAATTATAAAAACTTTTTTCCTAGAATAAAAATTAAAATATGAATTCCTACGTTATTAATTCTAGTTAGTCAAACTTTTGGAATTATTCTTTTCCTGCAAATTTTTTTCTTATTCTATTAATTTAATCTTTAAAAAACGATTTATTGATAGTTTCATTATCATAACTTATAGGGAAGTAAAATATTTTAATAAAAAACATTAAAAAATGTAAATTTTCAATGAATTCTGAAAGAACTATTTTAATTAATGAAAATTTGTTTCTTATTTTTCTTAAATACATATATATGTATAATAAGCTTTACAAGATGTATTTTACAAACTAATAGATTTAAGTGATTTTATTTATATCCGTTATAATTAAAAATATTTCTGTTTTACAAAATATAAATAGAATATTCTATGTATACGTTTAATTACTACAATATGTTAGGACAATTTAATATTCAAAAATTCTTGATATTTTTGCCGCGATATGACTTAAATATCTACCTTTAATTACACAGTATATTTCAGTGTTATTAACACTAACTAGTCATAATTATAATTATTTAACATGTGATTTTAAAAAAGAACAAAGATAGTTATATGTTTATTTATTTAATTTAATATTGAATTTCATTAAAACAAAACAAAAAATGTTTAAATTTAACATGATTAAAATCAACTAACAAGTTACTAGTTTATAAGGTATTTCCTCATGGAATAATCAACTACAAGGTAAACAACATTTGTTTGTACTTCTTATAGATAAAAAAAGTAAATAAATTTTTCTCCTGTCATCTATTTTTGTACTGTCATTTAAAATATTACTAATAAATAGTTAAATAATTATTAACTTCCATTCTATTTTTGTCCCTCCACAAAAAAAAATATAAAATAAACATCTTTCATTTTTTACGTTTGCTTTAAAAAAACTTCTCTCTATCAATTATATTCCCAATTACCTTCTCACTCTCATTGTGATAAATACGCCGTGAACATTTTTGGATTTTTCATATCTTCTTCTACTGCTTCAATTTATTTGTTTATCAGTTTTAAATGCATTATGTGTCAGTATGAGTTAAAATCTAAAAATTTTAAGTGGAATTTTTTGTCAATTTTCGGAATTTTTTTATTTTTATTTCAGTTTTGTTAACTTCACTCATTTATAAAATAATTTTAATTATTTTACATACGATTTGAATAACTTTTTAATTGGCTTTACGGAAATGATTAATTGGTGTATGTTGTTTAAATGATTTATTGTGTATTGACATTATTCTATGTTTAGTCGTTAAGATAGTTTGATTACTTTTAATATCGTATCGATCGTCTCCTTCTGGGATTATTGAATTTGTCGTAATTACAATTAATATAGATTAGATTATAATTAATATATTTTAGATAATCTTTGAAACGTAATTTTCGATATTATTTAGTGCAATACTGAAATCAATTTTACTACTTTTTGACTACTACAAAATCCGTGCCCTAGTGATTACATATAATTATCTCATTATTATATCATTACTCATTATTATTATTTAAAACTGCTGTTATTTTCACTTTGTTGTAAAATATTGTGACAGTATAACGTACTATATCTAATTTTGAGCATTTTTTGTAATTAATTGTTGAACCATTGTATATAATTCTGTTATTGTTGAGTTATAATAGTTCTTACTGAGAGCTCTTAAATAAAAAATAAGAACCGTAAATAACCTACCTTAAAATCTAGTTTAACAGTATGACTTACTTCAGTATGATCGAGTACTTGACCAACAGTAGTTAACGATTTGTGTTCAGATTCATTGGAATTAGAGAGAAATGCAATAGGGCTTGCTTCGGTCATTCCGTAGATCGACTAAAATTAAAACAAAACACATCAATAATAATTATACAAATGAAGTGCAGTAATAAATGTAACTAAAAATCAGACTCATCTGACGTTTTATTATTCATTATACTAATTAAATATAAAATTTCCGTTACATAAAAAAATAATATTTAATAGAATTTACTACAAACAAATATCCGTATCTAAAAAAACTTCATTGGCACGAAGTAAAATTTTAAACCAATTGAGCTTATCACTCAGCTCAAGACCCCAACGTTTCCTCTCTATTGTGTAATCGACTATTTAAATTGTTCAAGGAATATTTAAAAATTGAACACTTCTATTAGTGCTTTAAATTATTTGAATTAAAATGTTTACTTCCAATATAAATTAAAAACCGTTTAGTATGATTGCTAAACGAACAGTTTTAAATTAGAGAAATTAAAAAATGGATTTAATTAAATAGATGCGTTATCTGATAATTATTATTATTATACCACTTTTAACACTATATCCCGAAATAAATTTAACAAAATTACTTTACAGATATTATCTCCATCACTTTATTATTCTTTTCTTCCCGTACAATTTTACCTATACACAGATTAATGGAAATATACCATTAAAATGTTTGTATCATTGTAACGTATAATCTTTAAGATATAACTATTATACAAAATACTAATTCTGAAACATTAAGTCCGGAAACCAACCAATATCTTCAAACTCTGCCAATTATTATCGTTAACCTTGTGTAACGAACACCCATAAGCTTTCCAATTGCATTAGTAAATTCCGACCATTATGAACCTCAAAGTATATTCACACTTTATATTTATTTGTGTATTTGTAAGTGTTTATGTACTAATGTATGTTTTATTTACATACATACTTTATTCTATTTGTTCATTAAGTTCTACATTATAATGCACTACAATGGCCATAGCAATCGCGAATTGTAAAGTAATTTAAAAAAAAAATTAAAATACTAACTATATTACTTGCTTTGCTCATATTTGTCAATCGTCTGTAGTTTATTAGAGGATATACGAATGTTCTTTTCTTTGCATCTTAAATAATTGGTAATAACGGTTACCGCCGGACGCCATAATATATTATAATATTGATTAGTACATCGTTGTATGAATAATATTTCGTATCGAACATAAACATATAATAATTATATGACCACTGTGTTTATATGTTTCACGCTACGTTTATAATGCGCAGGGTAGGTATATTAAGATACACGTGGATAATAGATCTTTACTGGCTATATTAATCCAAAAAAAAGCTATCTTTTTTTTTTTTTTAAGCTACACTAAAACCTTGATACAAACGATTTAAGTTAATTCTGATCTAGCTATAAAGAATTATACGGCAAAAATGTCTCAAAAATCTAAAAGGAAATAAAATCTACAAGGAAATATTTGTACACACGACTTAAATTACAATTCATATGATGATACACTGAACCCTTCCCTTAAAAAAAAAGAACATATTATAATCCAAAAAATATTATTTACTGTACGAGGAATAACTTATTGTGTGTAGCTACCAATATAAGTTTGTAACTGTTAATTAATAGAAAAAAAATACATAGTGCAAACAAAAATGATATTTATTAGAACTATTATAATTCAATAGAACAATAACGGTACCATATTTACCGACGAATTATGACAATGGTCAGTCTCGAAAAATCACCCACACTTGTACTCGTATTATACTGGGCATCACGTGTTTTATTTAAATTTAATAAAATATGTTTTACAGAATTGCGTTGTATCTAAATTATATTGCGTTACGCGTACACCGCTCATGTATGTAGCTACGTACTCGTATAATAAGTATGCTAAGCAAATTCGAAACTTACCGAATCCTCGTTGCGTAACCATATACACCAGCATGTAGGTAAATATTATTATATGCACGAGAACGCGACCATGCGAACTATATTACGGATGAAATTAATATTCTAATACTAGATGTGACACAAATATACCGACGAGGCTATACGGCTATAAATGATCATTATGCATTGTAACCTATAAACACTCAATGTATCGAAATACGAATCGACAAATGATTCGCTAAATAGAAAAACGTTGTGCGAGCACTTTCCCCTACGGCTGCTCTTAATGATCATTACGGTATACAACCTGTATAATAGTATATATTTAATAATACAGAATTTAACTTTTTGCAATTCAACCTAAGATTTTTTATTATCTTCGAAGCAAGAATATTATTTAATAGGAATCTTATGCCGTTAGCGTTGCGAAAATATCAATCAGACCAAATATTATCTGCGTTCAATCTGGTCGAATCGTTAACCCTGCACGAATGCATGTACTAACTAGACATCATAATCATAGTATACATTACCACAATCCTTTTGATGTTGAATGTCATTTTGACTTGTTTTAATAAACTTGGTGAACACAACGCTCCCGAACATAACGCAATTTCTGGCGTGGTAAATGTATGCCCTTGATCCATAAGTGTTTTAGAAGCATTAATCAAATCTATGTACATCGTTGGCGTTCCGTACAAAAATGTACACCTATAAAGATAAGAAATACCATTTTTATTAATTCTATTTAAGCACAAATAATTATTTGTTATTTATATATTTGTTATATAATAATAATATGTTAGACTGAACTATGAAAGTGAATATAATTTTAAATGAATTTCTCGTAGAATTTAAGAACATAAAAATGTTTGATCATTTTAAGTGGATTTTTGTGATTTGTTTTGTGTAGGATTAAAAAAAATAAAAAAATTAACGAACGAAATACCTTAAGGTATTTAATAATTTGTTTCTTATGTGTATTTAGATACTAATCGTAATGTATATTGATTTACATATAAATATAAATTCTAAACTGAATAGTAATGTTTTATTTTGTAACAAGTAATACGATTATTAATAAAATAGTTGCTGAATAATACTAACCTTTCATATAAGACAGCCTTTGCGGATTCAATAGGCTTGTAACCTAAAGCTGGTAGTACAAGCGTGCTTCCACTGTTCAGACTCACCAATATACCGACAACAGTTCCAAAAGTATGAAAAAATGGAACTTGCAACAAAATTCGGTGTTCCTGTTTCAAAAATGTTAAATTTACAAATTACTATTAGTATCACATTAAACAACACTATTACTAAATTGTTCTGTATATAATTAATTCTAAACGTTTATATAGGTACGTATCGTTTACTTCAACTATTTCGAAAATAAGAATATTTCAAAATACTTAAATAAACTATAGTTAAATATAAATATAAAATCATGTAATGTATCATGTATATAAATCATTGTATACCTTTTCCATTAACTTCAACCGTTTGCAGAAAAAATACGAATTATTAACGATGTTATAATGAGTTAAGCACGCACCCTTCGGCGCACCGGTAGTTCCCTGTAAAATAGTTTACTAAATATTGAGTTAATTTGAATAGTAAAAATATCGTCATTAATTATACACGACAATAATAAAAATATATAGTAGAAACGAATAAGAAACGAATCATATTTCTTACCGAAGTGAATTGTATGTTACATATCGCATTAGGACTCATTTCTTGATTTAGTTTTTTTAAGTATGATATTGACTTTTTCGATCCCGACTGACATACGTCCCAGTATTTTATGATTCCGCTGGAACATAAATAATAAAATAATTAGTGATTGGAAATCGTCATTTGGCTGGAGAAAACTGAATTTGTTCGACTCACGGTAGATTTTTTTCGGTATCCAGAACTATGAACTCTAGATTTGGCAAATGTCTAGTGATGACCGGTTTACCGTAAGGTTGTTGGGAAATTTCTGGAACAATACTCTTAAGAAGCCCGTAATAATCTTGGTTTTGATTATTTTCAAGAGCAATCAGCATTTTCGCATCGACTTTACTAAGGCTATGGTGGAGTTCGTTTTTCTTATACAACGGGTTGATATTTACCTAAATTCATTGTAATAACAACTATTTATCTAGAATCTCATTTGAAATATAAAAAATAAAGGAAAAAAAATTAATGTTTTCTCATTACCGCGATCAAACCAGCTTTGATAGATGCTAACAATGTGATTTCCCATTCTATCGAATTCGAACCCATTAAACATAACCGATCACCTGGCTTCATTCCTATTTCTAATAGACCAGCCGCTAATTCATCGACCTATTGTACCTCATAAAAATATTTGTTTGTATGCGATTAATTCAAATAAATTGATACATATGAGTTACAATTAGGAAAATAATTTAATTTGATTTTTAGACTCCCCCCTCATCTCAAAAATATATTTGATTATATCAAACGAACCTCATGTTTAAGTTTCGAAAAAGTAACTTTTCGATTCTGATGTACAGACATTATAGCTTCTCTGTTCGGGTACTTTTCTGCCGCTTCATCGATCAAGTTTCCCACCGTCTTGTAATGTAACTGTTCATATTTAGGACCTTTATAGTAGCTCGGTTTCGGTATAATCGTACTGGAAGACCTATTATTTATTTTTTAATTCATATATAAACCATACTGCTATATATATATATCAGGCACGTATATATACAGGGGGTTGGAGGTTCAACGCCTCCCTTCCCCTCAAAATAATTTCTTTGAAAATGAAGTCAAATTATACATCTGTTATCATAAAATATTTTTATTACTAACTGTTGACCGTTTTCTTTATTTATTAGTCGGGTATGAAATACAAGTTTATATACTCGTATACTATTATATTTGATTGATTGAGGTGATTACTGATAACTACGCACATGTAAGAACTGTATCATTGCAATATATATAATATACCCCTTATAGACCGAAAAAAAGAATTTTAATTTTTTTTCATTTAAACTATATTTCATTCTTACATTTACCTAAAACGTAATTGAAAAAATGTTGAAAAATCATGGTGGTGGCGAAAATAACCCCTTTATGATCGTGAGGGTTCGGCCTTAATAAATAAAAATAAATAAATAGAAACACATCAAAGGTATAATAAAACAAGTTTATTAAATATTTAGAAATAACATATTTTAACTTTAAATTAAGGAATTAAAAAAATAAATATTATAATGATATTTATTTTAGAATTTATGAATTCTGAATTCTGAAAAACTCCTATTTCGTCAATAATCTTATCTTATTTTCCGTACTCAATCGGTCACCAAAAATTCCTATTGAAATGCTAATCTAAGATAAACGATCGTTCAGTTTTAGTCCGTGTTCGGTATTTGAACGGTTATTATCTGCGAGTACAATAGTGTAATGTTTATTTTTGCGATTTGTAACTTACGAAAAGCGATTTAATAACCAAATTTATTAATTATTACAGATTTGATTAAATTTTTTTTATAATGAAAAGAAATAATGATCAACCATTATTATTCAGTTTTGGTATAAAAAAAATTAAAAACAACGAAGATTTTGAAAGTGAATCTAGTAATATTCAAAATATCGCAACCAAAATTGAAATGTACCAAACGCTTTGAAGACCCAACTTGATACAAATATAGGCAGCAATGAATTGTTAAAAAATTATTCTCTATATATTTTTTTTCTTCTATTTACTTAATAGTATAATATACCTAGGTAATTTTATGCGCATAATGATCAAATAAATAGACATGGCCGTTTTCGACCAAAAACGTACCCTTCTCTTTTCGGCCGATTTACTTTTCGACCAAAACAAAAATTTATATAATAAATTTAAAATAATAAAATAATGAAGTACAATTGTTGTCAATAATTATTAAAATATTAATATAAAAGAGAACTTTAAGAAATCTGAACTTCAATTTTAAAAATTTTAGGACTTCGCTCGTTACGCCTGCCGGCTCCACTCACAAACTGCGTCGCCCTTTTCGGGGGGATGGGGCTTCACCCCAAGGAGAATTATAGTCTAGGCCAAACCTAGTTTTTGTACAAACCTTGATACTGTTGCAAATGTAATTATGCTCTGTATGTAAGCCTAAAACCTCACTACGCAAGTAAAACCCTAATCGTCATTAATATATTATAGTAGTTTCCATTATAATCAAACATTGTACATCATTATTTTATTATTTTAAATTTATTATATAAATTTTTGTTTTGGTTGAAAAAGGAACAGACCTATTTTAAATTTGGTCGAAAAGTTAATTGGCCGAAAAGGGAAGGGTACGGTTTTGGTCGAAAACGAGCTCGCCCAAATAAATATCTGTTCTGTTCGTAACACATACTATTATTTAAAGTTTTATTTATTATTATTATTCCTTTATATTTCTGAACAAATCACCTACATAAAATTTGAATATTTAGCATAATAATTGTCACATTAAAAAATAATTAGTAAGGAAGAAGAAATTGTTTTATTATGTTGCTGTACATTTTGTATACAATTTGTATTACTATATTTAATAACCCCCCCCCCCCGAAATGTTATTTTGTTTGTATGTAAAAAAAGAATGATAAAATAATTTTATTAAAACATTTTATTGAATAAAATCCTTCGAATCATAATGTATATGCACTTTCTCAGTGATTAATTTTCCTAACAAAAATACACGTTTGCATATAAGAAAAGTATAAAAATAAGCGGATAGTCTTAGATTGGTTAATTTGTATTTTATAATTTTAAAAACTAATTTACCCATCATTATAATAATTTATATAATTTTGGATTTGAATTAAAGAAAAATTGTATGGATCGTCCTTCGAAGCAAGGACTGCACTATTACAGAATATTATTTTCACGTGAATAATAAAATAAAACCCGTGTATATTTTAAGTTACATTGTAAAATGCTTATTTTTAAACTATATTAAGATATTATTCATGTATTTTAATGGATCCATGTTATAAAAACATATCATAATAATAAATGGTAATGCGTAAAACCTTGGTTGCGATATGTTTCAAAAATGAATAAGCGAACATTTAAATGTGGTTGATGACATATTGTATTTTCTCATCCAAGGATTAAACTGTTACCATTTACAATGAAATTATACTAATGACAGAGAAGTGATCTCAAAACTTTGAATCGCACGAATTTAATTTAACGTTTAATTAAATTATTATAATAATATAAACGTTATAAAAAAAACTACAAGAGTACGTGACTTCTTATTGTAAAACATAATTACCATATATGTCTACGTTTTGCCTCCGTAATTGAGGAAATAATGTGGTCGTATACTTTGTACATATGCTAGCGCATGAATTATACTAATTATAGGCTCAAGAGAATAATAATAAACATTGTACTCAAACATATTTGATTCATAACATTTAATACATGGTGTTCAAAATGGCGTTCCTTTTTTGTCTTTGTACACAATTTCGACCAGAAGGATTAACTCAAACACCATAATTGTAAGAGGTTAGTGATAGAAAATATTATTTATTAAGTATTTTTAGGGCTATCATTTTAAGAATTTTCCAACTGTTTTTTTAATAATTGCGATAATCTAATGAAAGGTTATAAAAAAATAACAACATTTACGAAATACGTGTTTCAGAAAAAAAATTAATTTTTTTTTCATTGTAACTCAAAAAATAATAATATTCAAGATACGACATTTTCACTAAATGCTAATATAATCGTTTGCTATAGATGGTATAATTTTAAAGAAAAAATGTTTAAATTATTTATAGAAAATTTGGAAAATTTAATACCAAAAATTAAGTTTAGTTACCTAGTAAAAAAAAAAAAAAATTGTAAACATTTGAATGTATAATTTCAGCAAAACGATAAAAATCCACTACATTTTCAAGTATATAATTAATAAAAATGCCATATGTATATAAGAAAAAGATAAATAGGTAGTTATTCTAACTAATCATAAGATACTGTCAAAAAGCATATATACATGTAACATCTAAAGGTCAGTTAAATGTTTAGTTTTAACGATAACAATTTATTTTTTATTATAACGTTAAAATTAAAGTATGACTAGATTATTTTATTAAGAAATCGTAAACACTTTACTGTGTATGTATAATAAAATTATAGCTATCATTATTACACTTTTGATGCATATTTTACCGAGGTCGAGAGTTGTTAACAATTTAATATTATTAAACTAATTAATAAAAAAATTAATCATAGCATACATATTTCCTTGACCGCCTTGTATCAAATAATCTTCAATCATTATACGACTGCTTTGTTTGATATTTAAACTTGACTTCTGTTCAAAAACATAAAACGTTATTATATATAACAACTACAACAAACTTAAAATATTAAATAAACATTTAAAAATACACTATTGAGTATCTTCTAATATTTTTATTTTTTAATTTGGTAAACAATTTATCTAAATAATTTTAGCTTGAGTTAAACTTAATGAAGTTTGACTTACACGCAAATTAATCAACGAACGGTATGACATGTTCTAACGAAATGACCTGTGATACATAAACAATGAAAACCATAACGCTCAATCGAAATGTAAATTATTATTCATTTTTGCATTGGATTTGAAATTATAATTTAAATATCGTCACTTCGCCTATTTTTTGTATATAATTCGATTTATAATGGGGCTCGCTGTCATTCATCAGTCCCTATATTATGTTTAATATTTTGATAATGATTCTATGAATAATCAATACAACATTATAAAGGTTGATTTATAATTCACTTGACACACGTGTCAATCTATAGTTTTTGTTCTAAAGATTTTTTTGTTACAAACCTAGAACGTTACATTTATATATTTAGTATTTAGCAATCATGAAGTTTTCAAATTGCATAGAAACAGTACTTCAAAATCTTATTAGAAATAAGGTATAAACACATTCTTATTCCTGAGATAAAAATGTTTTCCATTTTTAAGTTCAGAACCAGCGTTTGAAAAGATTTAGAAAATTCACAGTTAATCTACTTGAACTCGGATTTATAAAACTTTAGGAGATGACTTTAGGAGAATGTAAATTTGATAAATGTAATTTGTGTTTAGTATTTTATATAACTTTTCTGTTTTTTTCTTAAATTATTTTACTTTTTTCATTAAATGTTGTTGGGTTGCTACAACGCTGCTTAGAATCAGCATAAACTAAAAATATAACTCATATTTATATTTGTATGAATATATACGATTACATTTAATATATCTGTAGTACATAATTAATGCATTATATAAAATTACAAGAAATATTACATAAAAATACAATTATTTGCTGGAACATGGATAAATATCATAAAACGTTAAATTGAATTTATTTATTCTGTTAATAAAAAAATAATTAATTATTTTATTTTTATTATAATGTACCTGATGCTAGTTTGATTTGAAACAACTTTATCTGTCTTATATAGATGAACTGGGATTATTAATTTTATCCAAGAGCATCAATAGTTTTTAAACATTAAGTTTTAAAATATTTAGTATAATTTCATGATGGATAAGAAATGATAATGAATGATTTTTTTCAGCAAATTAAATTTCAAGAACATGAAATTATAAATGAGGTCAACATTTTCACTTAATTTTGTCGTATATCAAATAATAATTTTATTTTAAAAAAAAAAGTGTTTCTGTTGTGGTTACTAAAAAAATAACGTACTTAAAACTAAAATATAAACTATTATTGAAAATAATATATACGTATGTCATAATTTATTATACTTTCGTATAAAAATAAACTATCCAATTTAACTTGTAAGGAGAAGAAGAAGAAGAAGAAAAGAAGAACTTGTAAAATAAAATAAATACCTATATAACATTTATAATCATATAATTAAAAATTATCTTTGTCAATTATTTAAATAGTTGAGGTAGCAATAAAAAAAAAATAGCAAAATTAATATTAAATAGGTCAATTATGAAATAATCCTTTATACTTTTACTTTGATGTTTCAATGTATTAAACGTTTAGTTAAAAGTTAGAAACAGAACAAGGAAACTACAGGATTATTGCTTATCTTGCCTTGAACCAAAAACATTGTCAAATAATTTTATTTTAGTCCGAGTAACCTTGAAATATTAAGACATATCATGTATAAATCAACGAATCCCTTGTTCATAAAAAAAAGAGCAAGTATTACGTGAGATCTACCGAATTCAAGTGTCCTACTGAAGAAAAAATATTGAACATATAGTTTGCAGTATAAATGAATACGAATTCACCATGGTACTATTGTATATAGCAAAATTAACGAGTCAATAATTAAAAACTAATGATTATTACGTTGATACACCTCAAACAGATTCAGGTTTCGCAACTTTGCTGCGCTTTCCTGGTTAAGCATTAATGTTAAAATAATCGCATTTACATCATATACTTATTGTAATAATCATATGCATTGTAAATAAAATGTTCATAATTAAAATAATAAAATACTAAATATTAATAAGCAATGACTATTTAGGGCTAGAGACTTCATGCCCGAAATAATCTCAAAATATGCATACGTTTATGCCCTAAAGAAACACTAAATATGCTATTAAAATATACAATAAAAAATAATGTACGGTATTTAATAAGACATTTTATAACCTAGATCATATTTACAAAATAAATATTATATTTTGTTTATTTATTATTGTTAAATCAACATAATTTGTAATTCGTCATTCGATTTTTACAAGTATATATCTCTATACATATTTTTTAAGTTGAGGTTAAGTCACAGAAAGAGAATGCAACAATTATAATAATAAAACATTTTACAAAGTAGCTAAAATGTTTTGCTGTTTTTATGTGTTGTATTACAATAAATCTTTTCTCAACACTAACCTTAATATCACGTATTATACGATACAAAACGTCAACCTGATCATAAGATTTTGGTTTTAGTTTTTAGGCATTTCGATTATTTTTCAATGGTATCCGCGTTAAATACAGTACGTAAACACTGTAAGAACGGAAGAACGCTCAACACCAATTGTCTACTTCAGTGTTTCTCAATCGGTGTTCCCAACAGGCAGTAGGTGTACCACGACCATGGTAAACGCGTATAGAACTATTAAGTATTAAAAATAAAAATTTCTCAGTACTTAATTTTCGTTATCAATAATGATTATCGTTTGGCGGCCAAAGTAAAATAGTATGAACAACTATTAGTCGTTTATCATCAATGTTTTCTATTAGTCGTGGATTAGTATACACATTTAAAATAATTAAAATAAAATAAATAAAATAGATAAATGTATTATTAATGAACGTAGTTCGTAGGAGTATAATAGTGTCGAGAATTCGACAAAAAGAAACCTAAATTTATTCGTGAGTACGCTGACAATTAATTTAAGTTTAGATATTTTTTTTTTTTTTACAAAAAATTAAGAAGAACCTCTTCCATTATGCGATAGGTGTGATGAAAAACATTCTAATAGTTCAGTGCTTCCGAGTAAATTAAATCGACACCTTATTACAAACCATTATCTTTTCTTGAATAAAAAAAAATCAGAATTATTTTAAAGAACTGATTACTATGAAATCAAAAAAAAAAATAAAAATATTTTGAGAAAAATGTTACAGAGTCTGATAAAACATAAATTGGTTTTTATAAAGTTGTGGAATTAATTGCTCAAAAATCAAAACCACTCTCGATAGCCTTCATTTTATGTAATCGTTTTTTTTTGATAATGATTCTATGAATAATCAATACAACATTATAAAGGTTGATTTATAATTCACTTGACACACGTGTCAAACTATAGTTTTTTTCTAAATTCAAGAACGTTACATTTATATATTTGGTATTTAAAACCATGAAGTTTTCGAATTGCATAGAAACTGTACTTCCAAATCTTAATAAATAATAAATGAATTATTAATGTTACGTTTATATAGTTGAATTACTAAAATAATGACAAATTGACGAGTCCACAGATATTAGTGGTAAAGCACAAGTAATAGGATTTATTTGGTTTATTCATAAAAATGAATTTTCTATTCAATTTTTTTTCTGTAATGAAATATTAAAACCCACAATAGACAAAGATATTTCTGAAATTGTAAGTTAACAAACAAATATGTCCTGTAAAATGTGCGTGAGAATTTTTACAGGTAGAGCACTGTCTATGGTTGGATATATTAAAGGTTTTACACTGGCAAAACAAATTAATTTAAATATATTTCATACTCGTCGCTTCATACATCGCGAGGCACTTATTTCTAAGACATTACTACAATAATTAAAAGCTGTACTAGATCATACTATAACCATGGTAAATTATATTAAGTCGAGGCCATTGAAATCTCGTTTATTTAAACAATATTGTAATGCCATGGACGCACAACATAAACATTGTTTCATTTACATTGATTTTTTTTAGTTTTTTACTTTTATTTATGGTGGCACGTGTATTCGTACTATTTTCAAATCTATGTGAATTATGATTATCTTTTATTTTTTATAAAAATAATTTTAGTAGAGCTTATTTTTATTATTATCTGAATAGATTTTCGGTATACTATCATTATCTTTGTCTAGATACAAAAGTATTTATCTGGGCTCAACACTGATTACATATATATATATATATATATTACTTTTTAATATTTTGTACAAATCATCAAACAACAAATATAATAATAATTTAATATGATATAACAGATTATATGTAATTTAGAGCTGAACTTCTTTTGAAATGTACTTATATAAAAATTTTAACGATGTCAATGTAACATAATATGAATATTGATTTCAATATCAAAAACCAATATTATTACGTTTTGTTGTAATATAAATTTAATAGGTTTAAGACGTGTTCATTGTCGTCGTGGTGTTAAGTTGATTTATTTGGTTATAGGTATATGCTTTTAATAAATCGCATTCATATAAAATCTAATGTAGATAGTATTTGAAATCCGTGTTTTGTATGGATTAATAAATCGATAAAAAAAATGTATGTTTAAAATATTTTATATCTTAACATTTATATCATAATAAAAACGTTTCACTATTCTATGTTAATATGTTCTTTTTTTGTTGGTTGAAAATATGTAAATTCAAAACATATAACGATTTTTATATATATAATTTTTTTTTTTGTTTCTTTAAACACCATTATTGTTTAACATGCAATAATTATATTCATACCTTAATTATAAACATTAAAACGTAATTTGATGGTTAAATATTGTACATTCCGAATAGCATTATTACATTAAAAAATAAATTATATTTTGGTAACGTATACGAGTAACATAATTTTATAATTTATAAATTTATTTTACTCTAAAATAGTATTTAAACTAGTCGTTAAATTTTCTTGTGAACATTGTGTATGATCATTGACTGTAATCAGTAAGTGGCTATACTGTCAATAGTGTTTAATGTATGCTAATCAATTATATCGTTAATTTATTTACATCTTGTTTGTTATAAATTCTCAATTCTTTATATACTGTAGTGCGCGTGTACACACACTTGCATAATGTATACCTACGTATAGATTTAATTAATTATATACTACTTGATTATTAACTAAAAAAATGTATTTTGTGAATATTTGA